GTTTAGGGGTTTAGGGGTTTAGGGGTTTAGGGGTTTAGGGGTTTAGGGGTTTAGGGGTTTAGGGTTTAGGGTTTAGGGGTGGCGGGGTTGCCTTGGGCTCACGAGGGTGTGTTTGAGCGGTGGGCTTTGGGATGCCCAAGACCATAAACCTTACGTCCATGCCACGTTGAAACCCTAAACCCCAGAAAAGACCCTAACTTCGTGGTTCGGGGGTGCTTGGGGAGGGGGGGGGAGTCGGGGGGGTGGAGGGTGGGCTGATTTCGGGATACCCTCATCTCTACTGATACCCCAGAACCTGAACATAAGCTTCAAGTCCTGGCTCCAACAGCCCCAGAGCCGCCAAACCCTAAACCCTCAACCCTAATTCCTAAACCTTTAAGAACGTCTGATGCCTCTCAGGTCGTCTACATCCTGCAGGCGCACTCGCCGGTTTAGGGGTTTAGGGTTTAGGGTTTAGGGTTTGGGGTTTGGGGTTTAGGGCCTAGGGTTTAGGGTTTAGGGCTTATGGTAGAGCTAACATGTTCCCCACTCATTTTTCTTGGTTCAGGGGGCAACTATCCTTACAACTTCCGAAAAAGTGGGGGGGACTGGATGAACCGCAAGCTTGGCATCATCTACCCTACACTGCTATCAACTGCAAGCCCTACGCAGGTATGTGAACATTATCTAGAACCGGAGTAGCCCCTGATTTTTTCTCTTTTTTTTAGGGTTGGGGTTCCCTTGAAACCCCTGAAAACCAAAAAGGGTCCCCTTTTTATTCCTAGGCTACGCCAGGGCCCTAAGGCCTGAACCCGAAACCGTAAACCCTAAACTCCTAGCCCCAAACCCTAAAGGGTCGCCTTTGTATTCCCAGGTTACTCCTGGGTGTAGTTATCCCAACAACCCTAAACCCCTAAACCCCTAAACCCTAAACCCTTATCCCATGATCGATTGAGTTTCCAGGCGAGAGGCCGAAGTGGAGGGTTGCCCCGGTGTTGGCACACTTTGTTGCTGATGCGGTTTGGGGTTTGGGGTTTAGGGTTTAGGGTTCAGGGTTTAAGGTTTATGTTTTAGGGTTCGTTCCGTGCTCGTCTCTGACCATGTCTGACTGAAGCACGACCTCCTGAGGTCCCAAACGATCCCCAAAATTGGAGGCGCAAACCCTATTCCATCAAGTGCCAATTATGTCCGAATGAGTGGGCCATGAAAATCCTTTTTTGGGTTCATTTGGTCAACAAGGCTAGGGCTTCCCTGACCCATGGGTGATTCTCGTGTGCCCCGCTTTGGGCGTCGAGTCTAGGACATTCCTTGCTGGGCACCATGCTCAGCATTCGAAGTTGTCGTGGCCGTGGAAGTGTACCCTCAACCCATTCTTGGGCGAAGCCTGTATAAACCCTGTCCTGAAGTGCTTCGCGATCCAACGCCTTGACCCCATAAACTACAACCCTAAGACCCAAAATCCCCGAAAAAAAACCACCTTACCACCCTTCGCAAGGCATACACGCCAGACGCCACCCTGCACATCACCTTCGGCCCGTTAGCGCGGCACTTGGGTCCCAGAACTCGGGGAAAACCCACTCCCAGAGAGCCGAACAACCCAAAGCCTAAACATCCGAAAGGGTTGAGGGTTTAGGGCTTCTAGGGTCTAGGGTCTAGGGCTTAGGGTTTAGGGTTTAGGGTTTAGGGTTTAGGGCTTCGAGGGCTTAGCCCAAAATGTCCGAGAACCTCCCCTGGGCATCTTTGCTTGAAAGTGGAGAGAACGCTGGGCTGGTATCATGCTAATGAAGCTGGGGCAGAGCCTTCTCAAGCCTACAGAAGTACGAGGTCGGCCCCCTAGCCCTAAACCCTAAACCCTAAACCCTAAACCCTAAACCCTAAACCCTAAACCCTAAACCCTAAACCCTAACCCCTAAACCCTAAACCCTAAACCCTGGTAGGCTTCAGAGGATCCTATCTAGGAATGCTTCTCACGGGGGGCCAACTCAGATTACTGGGACCTCCGGTGGAAGTCTTGAGCTCGATCACCTAGCTCAGGGTCAGATTAAGGGCGGGGTTTAGGGTTTAGGGTTTGGGGTGTGGGGTTGTGGTAAGAGTGTCAGAAAAGGCGCGAAGCATGTCTTAACTGTACCTTCTGGCTCAAGGATGGCCGTAGGAGATGTTCACCGCGAGAAAAGCAAGCCCAAGGGATCGGGGGTGTTGGTCTCGGTGGTAGGACCCTTGGTTGGGGGTGTGGCTTCTGGTAGTCCTGGGTGGTACCCCTTCGGGGAGTACAGGGTTTGGCTTTGAAACTTTAACATTAGACTCCGCTAAAGCCGTATTTGTTACCTCAAGGGGTGATAGGGGATTCGTCCCTGGGTTGATCCCTGAGACAGTTCCCCCTTGTAAGCTTCCCGTACAGGGTTTAGGCTTTAGGTTCCAAGGCGATGCCCAGAAGGTTTCATAGGGACGAAACCCGAGTGCAGAATAAATCCGAGGAGTAAGCAGTGAGTTCCGTGCGCTCCCGGCAAAGGGGTCTCCATCCCAAACCCGAAGCCCGCAAGCGCGCAAACTCACCCTGCACTTGGCATCGAGGCGACGGGGGGCTTAGGGGCTTACTAGGGGCGCAGGGGCTTTAGGGGGCCCCAAGATTGCCCAACTCTGCCGACGCCTGCGCTGAAGGCCCAGGTCGTGGAGAAGCTGTCGCTGCACAATCCTGAGACCTTTCGGGGCCAAGGCTCTGTCATGAGTTTAACGAGAGGGGGGGGGGGCCCTAACCCTAAACCCTGCACCCTGCACCCTGAACCCTGAACCCTGAACCCCTAAGCCCTAAGCCCTAAGCCCTAAGCCTTAAACCTTAAGCACTAAACCCTATAGGAGCTCAGGAAGACTTCACAAATCGATCCTTCAGGCGCTGTGGGTTTGCAATTCTCTAGGTGGATCACGTCAAAAAAACTCCGCGGGCTCCGCAGGTCTGATGGAGCTCCTTGGGCTGTGTTGAGGGTTGAGGGTTCAGGGTTTAGGCCCTAAATCCCTACACCTTCAACCCTCAGCCCTCAACCCAAAACCCTACCGTTTGCCTTAAGACCCCCCCCCCCCAAGAAAACAGAGGACTCTTCCTGATAAAGGCAATCTTTTTTTGAGGGGGGTTCTTAAGCAAAGAGGAGAAACCCAACACCTGAATCCCTAAACCCCAAACCCCAAACCCCAAACCCCAAACCCCAAACCCCAAACCCCAAACCCCAAACCCCAAACCCCAAACCCCAAACCCCAAACCCCAAACCCCAAACCCTAGACCCTAGACCCTAGACCCTAGACCCTAGACCCTAGACCCTAGACCCTAAACCCTAAACCCTAAACCCTAAACCCTAAACTAAACCCTCAACCCTCAACCCTCAACCCCAAACCCCAAACCCCAAACCCCAAACCCCAAACCCCAAACCCCAAACCCCAAACCCCAAACCCCAAACCCCCAAACCCCAAACCCCAAACCCTAAACCCTAAACCCTCAACCCTAAACCCCAAACCCCCAACCCCAGCTCTGGCAGTTGCCATTGGCGCCTGGTGGAACGCCTCACGCGTTGTTCTTGGCTTCGAGGTGTCATGGTCGGGGCTTCCGGGCTTTTGAGGGATTTAGGGTTTAGGGTTTAGGGTTTAGGGTTTAGGGGTGTATGGGGTGTAGGGGTACAGGGTGTAATTAGGGGTGTAGGGTTTGGGATTCAGGGTTTGTTTGCTTTGGGGTTTGGGCGCTGTTTGGGCTGTAGGGCCTTGCAGGGTTTATGCGGCTGAGAGTCTGAAGTGTGAATACACCCTAAGCTCCCTAAACCCTGAACTCCCTCAACCCTTGCTTAAGAACCCCTCAAAAACCAAAAGATAATAATCCCGCCCTATCTTGCCCTGCTACGGAAGAATCCTTCATTTCCTTGGGGGAGTAGGGTTTAAACCCTAAACCCTAAACCCTACACCCTGAACCCTAAACCCTAAACCCTAAACCTTTTGCGTCGAGGGCTTTCGCGTGTTGAAGCTTTTGGGGCTTCGGCTTCCGGAGTGAGATCGCGACTCTCTCCAGCGCCTTACAGTCCCAGTCCCTCCTCCCCCAAACCCCAAATTCTAAGGTTTAGGGTTTAGGGTTTAGGGTTTAGGGTACCCTAATCCCCAAACCCTAGACAAACCCTCAACCTCTACCCCAAACTCTGAACCCCAGTACCTAGATCTCGCTACTGGCTCCTACCCCATCAGGCCTCTTCAGCCGAAGCTTCCGGGCAGCATGGTTTCTGAAGAAACAACAAGACCTGCTGTATTCCTGCAGTTCCCTTTGTGGGCTTTATCATGCCACTTCCCGAGCGGCAGATGAGACTCCATCACCCTCCTTCCCCCGAAGTTGAGCCCGAATGTCGAGGCCATAAACCGCCAAACCCTTTAGATCCTTCTGTGAGTTTCCGGCTAACACCAAAACCCTAAACCCGACCCCTTCGCAGGAGATGCAGGCTTTTGAGGATCACGGAGAGTGCCCAAACAGTCTGCGGCCACCATGTGCTAGGAGCGTTTCACCAGACGCGTTTGCGGTTTGAGGGTTTAAGTGGTTATTGAGTGGTTTCAAACCCTCTGGGTGGGATTAGAGGTTTAAGGGTCTCGCGAGTCTCGGTGTTGTCATAGTTTAAGCTGCTCCTCTCCCAGAGACGAATGTTTGCCCGTTTCTCCCACCCACGGTGAATAATGTCTGCAGACCTTTACATGCGCATGATCCCTACACACCTCAAGGCATGATCTTGGCTCCGCCCGCTCCTCAATGACACTTGCACGGATCCTTGCCTCTTAGCCGCTTTTGGTCGGCAACCCAAAGACACATACGCTTATTTCTGAGGGGTTTGGGGCTTCGGCTCGGCCATCCTGGTTATGTTTAAGGTTATGGTTGTTTTGTTCGTTCTTATCATTATCATGACAGCTGCAGTTATCATTACACAATCCGACCTTGCCAACCTCCCTGAGTGTTTCTGGCCCGCGTGCCCGATTCGTCAGTGCCTGACAGGTATGCCTCCTCTGCCATGGTCGTAGACGAGAACACCGTGATGGCCGGTAGCTGAGTGAGGTTTTAGGGGCTCAGGGCGGTTTAGTCGTCGGTTTAGGGTTTGGGGTTTGGGGTTTAGGGGTCGAGCAGGCCTTGTCGCCCACCAACTACTCCAAACTCATGCACTGCTCAGATGCTTGGGTTGGGAAAGTTCCAAACATTTATTCGCTTGTTCAACCACAAACCCTAAACCCTAAACCCTAAACCCTAAACCCCCTACAACACAGAGAAAGGCCCTGGCGACGTGCCCAGGTCACCAGCCCGATCGCCTTCAAGTCGAAGTACGGCCAGGCGGCTGAAACGGCACCGTGGGCTCTTCGGGTGCAGGGGGGTTAATTTAGGGGTCGGAATAATGTCGAACAGTATCCCCTTATGTTCCCTGCATGATTATCCTAGAATAACCCCCCAAAACCCTATTCTGAAATATTAAGCCCGCCAGATCAGGGCTTTCGGGTTTTGGATTGGATGGCATCCTCATGGAGTTGAGTGTAGGACTCGCGGCCTTCAAGGATAGTTTGCTTAGGGCATCAGGGCGGAATCATGCACAAGCCCTATAATATTAATATACTCCACTCCGAAATCTCCTCACAGTAGTAAACTTTGCGCTGGTGTGGCTGCAGTGTCTGTAGAGAGGTGCTGTGTTGTGCATTAAGGGGGGAAGGGATTCAGCCAGTCCTTCTTGCAAGATGAAGAGGATACGGGCAAACCCAGTGAACTTGCAGACTTGCTGGCCCGTGTGCCAGGTCCACGGCGAAGTTCACTCGGAAATGCCAGGGCCCTAAAGGGTTCAGGGTTTAGGGTTTAGGGTTTAGGCCCCTAAAGCATCCGTGTCAGGTACGTCCAGTTGTGCCAGAGTGCTGGCATTGATGGAGGGGCTTCGTGGAACATGCCTGCCTGAACTCGACTGCTCTAGACTCTACTAGCAACAATATCTTGTTGTAAGGCAAAAATGTCGACAATATTTATCAACATGCTTTGAATTCGTGAGCAGGCAGTCACAGACACTCACAAACGTCACACACACACACACACACACACACACACACACACACACACACACACACACACGCACGCACGCACGCACGCACGCACGCACGCGCACGCACGCACGCACGCACGCACGCACGCACGCACGCACGCACGCACCACGCACCACGCACCACGCAACGCACTGCAACGCACGCACACAACACACACACACACACACACACACACACACACACACACACACACACACACACACACACACACACACACACACACACACACACACACACACACACACACACACACACACACACACACACACACACACACACACACACACACCACACCACGCACGCACGCACGCACGCACGCACGCACGCACGCACGCACGCACGCACGCACGCACGCACGCACGCACGCACGCACGCACGCACGCACGCACGCACGCACGCACGCACGCACGCACGCACGCACGCACGCACGCACGAACGCACGCACGCACGCACGCACGCACGCACGCACGCACGCACGCACGCACGCACGCACGCACGCACGCACGCACGCACGCACGCACGCACGCACGCACGCACGCACGCACGCACGCACGCACGCACACACGCACACAGACACACAGACAAACACCCCCGCACAAACTGAAACACGCGCGCACCCACGCACACGCGAGCGCCCGCACGCACGAGCGCTCGCGCGCGCGCTCATGCAAACACGGACAGAGACGGAGACGGAGATGGAGACAGAGACGGACACAGACACAGACATAGAGAACCACGCAGAGAACCAGGTAGAGACAGACAACCAGACAAAGACAGACAGCCAGGGAGAGACAAACAACCAGACAGACAAAGACAAATCATACAACAGACAAACAACCGGACGACCACACAACCACACAACCAGACAACCAAACAACGAGACGACCACGCAACCACGTAAGCACAACAACCACACCCGCTCTAAATCCTGAGCACCTTACGCCTTGTTTGTGCCACCCAAGGTGGGTCCGGGCCGAGGACAAGATGACCTGGAAGATTCGTAGTGCAATGGTCTCCTTGCAGGACCGCGAGTTTCAGCTGTGGCCCTGCAGATGCCCCAAACCTCAAGCCCTAATCCTCAAAACCCCCAACCGCCCTTGAAAAAAAGGTACTTATCGACCCTGCGATTATGGTGAAAGGGTAGTTGGGGGGTGCTGGTAAACCCAAAACCCTAAAACCCTACACCCTAACAATACACCCAAACCCTAAACCCTAAACCCTAAACCCTAAACCCTAAACCCTAAACCGCAAAGTGCCCAGGACCTGGGGCACTCCGAGGCCAGCACGCCTACAGCGCAGCCAGCAGCACCGCCTGCGGCGCAGCCAGCGGCGCAGCCGGAGGCTGGTTTAGGGTTTGGGGTTTAGGGTTTAGGGTTTAGAGTTTAGGGTTGAGGGTTGAGGGTTTAGGGTTGAGGGTTAGGGTTTTATTGTTTGGCTTTTTGGGTCTGGGGTGTTTAGGGTTGAGGAGGGTTGTGAGAAAGTCCTATGAGCACCGTTTGCCTTGAAAAGAGTTCGGTCGGCTCCGACGTTTCGGGTTTAGACTTTGGGATTTGGTGGGTTTACGAGAATAAGGGACCCCCCAATTTTTCACCCCCAAATAGCAGATTCCCATTTCATCAGGACCCCAATACGGTACCCCTAATTTCGGAAACCCCCATTTAGGTTGAGGCTTTGGGATTGTGGGTGGGGCTTAGGGCCTAGGGGACGTCAGAGGGGTGTCGGGTTTAGAGTCTAGGGTTCAGAGCTTAGGGATGTTTAGGGTTCAGTTCGGGGATTATAGGGGCCAAATCGCGCACCATGTCTCTGGCACCAGTCCGATGCTCCAGGTACCAACTTCCTCTGGCGAACCCTCAGCCAGAAACCCTGAGCCCCTCAACCCGACGCCATGAATGCTTTAAAACCGAACCCCAGGATGGATGGGGTTTAGGGTTTAGGGTTTAGGGTTTAGGGTTTAGGGTTTAGGGTTTAGGGTTTAGGGTTTAGGGTTTAGGGTTTAGGGTTTAGGGTTTAGGGTTTAGGGTTTAGGGTTTAGGGTTTAGGGTTAGCCTTTAACTACTAGGACAGTGAGTTGGGCATCGAATTGCCTTTGAGGGTGAGGTGAACATTGTGGGCATTCCCTTCACTCGCCCTTCGTACACCCACCCTCAACCCTCCTTGCCCTTCGCCTGACTGTACTTTGCTTTGCCGTTTCCGCCTTCGCATAGCCTTCGTGTGATCCGGCTGCTCCTCCCCAACTACCTGCTCCCCCCATTGGTTTCGGCTTTACGCATTTCAAGAGGATTTCGGGTTCAGGGTGTGCCGAATCCTTCAACAAGCGCTCTTCAATCTCAACCTCCAATGATCATTTCTCGTACACCGGAACCCCAAAAGGCCCTACTGTGCAATCCTGAAACTACGCATGTTGTACTCCTATGCAGCCCGAAGCCGAAGCTTGTCCAGTGAGTTGCTCAATTTGGGCTGTTAGGCCATTCCTCAGCCCCTAGACCCTAAACCCTAGGCCCTAGACCCTCAACCCTAAGAAGATCTTCTGCAAGGTTTGTGCGTGGCAGCACAGGAGCCTTGAAAAGAAATCAGGGTTCTGCCGCCTTAACCCTATACTTGGTCCTCGAAACTTACTACTTGCTTAAAAAAATATGAGACATTATTCGTTATCAAGGGCAATATATGAATTTTGTGTTCTTGTGTTGTGGGCGTTCCTAAGCAAATAGTAGGGTTTAGGGTTTACGGTTTAAGGTTTAGGGTTTACGGTTTAGTTTACCAATGATGCTTGAAGCATCTCGGGTTTGGGAATCCCTGGCGCCAGAAGCAGCGAGAAGCGCCTGCGACCGGGACACCACCGGCCACGCCGGCGCCCAAAGAAAGCAGGCGCTTGGTAGGCTAAATAGTTAGGCTTTATAACTATAACCATAGGGTTTCAGGTTTAGGGTTTAGTGTTTAGGGTTACAACAGGGCTCAGGAAGTCTTTAGGGAAATTGGAGCTTAGTGTCTTATTTCATGGTTTCCCCTACCACCCCCCTCTTTCCTACCCCTAAGGCTATTTAGGGATAATTAAGGCTAATTAAGGTCATTTAAGGAGGGAACCTTGGGGGGGGGGGGGGGGGTAGTATAGAGGGGGGTAGTAAGCAGTTGGGCCACAGGCTAGGTTCTGTGGCGCTGCTTTAACTGCAGCCTCGTGGGCCGTCTGTGCTCTCTCACAAGCACCCGAATCCCATGTCATATGGTCAGGTCTAAATGGCGCAGAGCATGTGAAAAACTCTAGACCCTAAACCTTCAAGCCCTAAACCCTAAATCCCAAACCCTTCAAACCCCGATAGTGTGGTAGGTTTTCCTTCGCTCCAAACCCCGCAGTTCTACGCACCAAACACCGCGCGCACGGGAGGCCAAAGGACACGGTCCTCTCGGGCGACGTCAACAGCACTATGGCACCGGGCCCTTGAAGTGGGGTGTGTTCACCTCCTAGACTGTTTTTTTGGGTTGAGGGTTTAGGGTTCAGCGCCCCAAGCCCCAAGCCCTAAACCCTCTGAAGCGGGGAAGCTTCTGGGGGTGGGCATGAATGGTCGGCTCTAAATGAGAGTTCCGATTTTGGAGCCTTTCTTGATAAGACAGCCCCTCGTGCTCAGGGTACCCGAAGCCGGGGCCATAAGTTAGAGATCTCGCCAGGTATGCGTATATAAGTAAATAGGTAAAAACTATATACATATATATATATATATACGTATATCAAAAAATACATATATATATATATAGACTTATGAATCTATACGTAGAGTTCTATTGTCATTGACTGATAGGTCGGCAGATAGATGGATAGATGGATAGATCGATAGAAGGGTCTTTATATTCATATGTTTATGTTTATGTGCAGGTGTGAGTACGTTTATGTGTGCATGTATGCCTGCATGTATCTGTGTACCTCAGTGCATCTATATGTACGCATGTTCCTATGCTATACTATTTACATATCTATATATATACATATATATATACATATATATATATATAGAGATACATACATACATACATATATATATATATATACATGTATGTAAGTAAAGTCCATATACATACATATATATATATATATACGAGTTGACATTGAATCTGTGAGCCGCCCTCTGCCGAGCAGCAGGGCGCCAGCGGGCCTTCCGGCACAGAGCAAGTTGCCCGAGGCGCCAGTGGGGTTTCGGGGCCAGGGGCGGGTTTTGGAGGGCCCTAAACCCTAAACCCTAAACCCTAAACCCTAAACCCTAAACCCTAAACCCTAAACCCTAAACCCTAAACCCTAGGCTTGGGGTGTTAGTCAAGTTGAAAACGTGGCAAGGCCCCGACATTTCCCCCCGGGCCTCCTGGCACGGCCTCCAACCGAAGATTCCCAGCGCTTTTGCCTCCTCTTGCAAGTCAAGGGTGCTTCGGAAAGTTGCTCCCGTTTGGGTTTGCCATGTCTGCTGGCGGGATGGGAACTGCCTCAGTGCAGGGTTGGCAAGGTGACTTAACAACAAGAATAAGAGCCCCTCTTGTTATAGGGGCCCTAACGGAGAGTAGTTGGGGGGTTGCGTGGGGGGGGGGGGGCTACTTTAAGCTACACGAGCGTGCAATCAGGAGTCAGGAGTGCAGTCCAAATCTAAAGAGCAGCGACACGAAGCCGAAAACCCTGAACCCTACTGACGTCTGGGCCGGGGCTTACCCCAAAACTTCACAGTAGTCAGCCGGACCTAAGCCGCTTGACCTCCATGACGCAAGGACCCCCCACCCCCAATCACCCCCTTGGTCCTCACCAGCTGTTGCGGGGACGGGCTTTGGAGTTCACCCGAAACCCTAAACCCTAAATCCTAAACCCTAAACCCTAAACTCTAAACCCTAAACCGCAACCCCCTACAAGCCCTCTGCGAGAATTGCCTGGAAGCCTTTCAACACCCCTTGCAGCCAAAGCCCTCATAAACTCCCGAAAGCCTAAAACAATTGGGGTCATATACCCTCGACTACTATATTTCCTATGAAGGTATATGACCCTAAACCCTAAACCCTAAACCCTAAACCCTAAACCCTAAACCCTAAACCCTAAACCCTAAACCCTAAACCCAGGGTTCCTTTGGTCCCCAAGGCTCTGGAGACAAGGAGAGGGCTTGCCTCAAACACAGAACCCTGAACCCCAAACCCCAAGCCCCACATCCTAAACCCTAAACCCTTATCCCTTGGCGGTAGTGGTGGTGGTAGTAGTAGTAGTAGTAGTAGTAGTAGTAGTAGTAGTAGTAGTAGTAGTAGTAGTAGTAGCAGTGGTAGTAGCAGCAGTAGTAGCAGAGTATCCTAAACCCCCAAACCCTAGATACTCAGCCCTGAGCCCCGAACCAGGCCATTCTACGTTCCTCGCGGGACTGGGCGTCCTGGACCCCGGCTGACTTCCATAATCTGGGGTTTAGGGTTTAGGGTTTGGGGTTTGGGGTTTAGGGTTTGGGATAGAGGGCTTCGGGCGTTTTTCTATAGAGATACAGAGTCGGGGCTTGGGCTCCCCGGAAGCCCTCTACACCCTGGACACTGGGGTTCAGCGTAAACCCCGAAACCCTAAACCCTAAATCCTAAACCCTAAACCCTAACCCTAAACCCTAAACCCTAAACCCTAAACTCAATAGTCCTGAGGCCTAGGCCCTACACCCTCCTAGGCCTGACACACTGAGGCGTCACACCCCAAAAGGGGAGCCATGCACCCCACACCACATTCTTGACAACCTGCCCTGAACTCTGAACCCTGCGATCCTATGCCCAGAAAGAATCCCTAAACCCTAAACCCTAAACCCTAAACAGCCTTGAACTCGAGTCTGGAACCCGAAGCCCTAAGCCCGCCAAACCATGAACCTGAGCCACAGCCCTCAGTGCACATAGACTGTGATGTTTTTTCTGCTGTTCTCGCTCGTCTTGATCAAACAAAACCAATCCATTCGGTGCTGTTTGTTTCTGACGATAAGGGACTCCAAATGTAGACCCCAAATAGTAGGATTCCCTTATAATCGGGACCCCAATAAGGTACCCCCCCCCCCCCCCTAATTTTGGAATCCCCCCCCCTCCATTTTTTTTTCGCAACCTGCTGAGGTCCTGGCGGCAGTGTCTGTGGGTGCTGCGCCCCCAGCTTTGGAGCCTGCCACGCCAGAGGGTTTGGCTTCGGGGGGTTGGAGTCTTGGGGGTGGGTCTTAGGGCTCCAGGATTCCATAAATCCCTCAACCCTAAACCCTAAACCCTAAACCCTGTGGTAGTTTGGCGCCTTTCAGGGGTCCATGCTTTTTTGGGTTTAAGGGACTTCGGATGCCTTCCCAGTGGAGAAAGGCAACCTTTGACCTGACCCGCGGGACTCACTGTTCTTGTTTGACTCGTATGTTGACATATCGAAGTTGACAAGGTCCTTGTCGTCATGAGCCCTAAACCCTAAACCCTAAACCCTAAACAATAGACCCTAAAAAGGTACCCCCAAACACTCCTTCCTACTTGTGAGGCTCTTGGCTTACATCCCTTCGGGGTGGCCAGGCTTGGGGCAGGGACGCCCTGAACTCTCAACCCTGAACATCCAAAAACCCTAATCCCTAAACCCTAAACCCTAATCCCTAAACCCTAAACCCTAAACTCTCAAGCCCCTGTAACTTGAAATTGTTCAAAGAAGCTCCTCGAACCTTTCCTCGAAACTTTCCCCGGACCTGAACCCTAAACCCTAAACCCTAAACCCTAAACCCTAAACCCTGAACCCTGAACCCTGAACCCTGAACCCTGAACCCTGAACCCTGAACCCTGAACCCTGAACCCTGAACCCTAAACCCTAAACCCAACTCAGGCGGTCTTGGTGCGGAGGGCGCAGAACCGGAGGGCCGCGGCCATCAGCGGCTTCGAGGCGGGCCACGATCAGGGCCTCAAACCCTAAACCTTAAACCCTAAACCCTAAACCCTAACCCCAAAACCCCAAACCCTAAGCCCTAAACCCGAAACCCTAATAAACCCGAAACCCTTAGCTTCAGGGGTAAGCCCTGACTTCTGTCATGACTCGCCAGTTTGTTGTGAGGACCGGGGTTTGGAGTTATTGGTCGCCGCCCACGGTGCCCTTTTTGATCATTAAGTTGGGTTCTGGATTCCCTTATGGACCTTACAACAACCAACGCCAAGAGTTGTTGGGTTCTGGATTCCCTTTATAAACCTTAAAGTAACCAACGCCAAAAGGGTCACAAACCGGCTAATCTTATAGACCTTAAAATAGCCAACGCCAAAAGGGTTACAACTCGGATAATGTGGATACTGGGCCAAAACCGCGCCAGTCGATGCTTGGCTGATCTGAGCGTGGCGGCTGCTTCCAGCGTGCAGACCTGATGCAAGGCAGCAAGGTGCCCCGCCCATCCGGAAGACAGACAGTTCGTTTCTGGTGGTTAGGGTTTAGGGTTTTGGGCTTAGGGTTTAGGGGTTAGGGGTTAGGGATTAGGGTTTAGGGTTTAGGGTTTAGGGTTTAGGGTTTAGGGAGTTTCAGTTGTCACAGTCTCACAAGTTCGACGTTCGGGCGATACAAGCTTTATTTTAGCGCCCTTTTGTGTTCTTCCCAACATGTCGAGAGTCCCCGAGTTTTCTGCATATCTACAAGCTTGCTGCTGTTAGTACTCCATTTTTTTACTATTATGACTCATACTACTATTGCGATATTATTCCTCAATCACAGTAATATCTGACCACCAGAGCTTGGGCCTCAACTTCGACCCTTCTGAGTCTTGGGGGGGCGCTTTGGTAGAAAAGGAGAACTCATGGCATGCTGCCCTGATTCACCCCTCTTGTTCCCCCTAACCCAACCCTGAGCCGAAACCCTAAACCCTAAACCCCAAACCCTAAACCCTAAACCCTAAACCCCTAAGCTCAAACCCACCAAGAACGTCCCATGTCTCTAGCGGGTTTTGGGGGCTTTGTGGGCTGTTCGTGTCTGCAAGGGATGGGCGGTGGCCGTGTCTCACTGAGAATTTTCCACCTGTTTGGAGGAGGTTTAGGGTTTAGTGTTTAGGGTTGAGGGTGTAGGGTTTAGGGAGGACTCTCGCACAGACCGCTCTCGCATGCGTTACAGAAATCAAACGCCTTCGACCTTGAACCGTATGCACAAGACCCCCTTTCCGAGAAGGTGATTGGGTCGCGCACCTCCAGAAATGAGTAAAGAGGAGTATGCAGCCCCAGCCCATGCAGCTGATACGAGTTTTTTGGAGTGTAGGGGTTACGTCCGATTCAGAGGACAAGGGGACTATTCTCCTTGAGAGCTTGCTTGGACAAGAGGGGAGACCTAAGCTGTTATTCCCTTTTGGGTTTAGGGTCCCAAGCTGGAAGCTTTGAGTACCAAATTGTTGTTCCCTTAATTGAGGGTATCTACTTTGCAGGGGTCTTTATAAAGGGGATAATGCTCGATGTGGAGGTACCCCTACTTTGCGACTTACATCGCCATTGGAGGTTTAAGGCTTGGGGCTTGAATCATGCTTCTTTGGCTTTCCCTAAACCCTAAACCTTAAACCCTAAACCCTGAACCCTAACACTTAGACCCTCAACCCTAAACCCTAAGACCTAAACCCTAGACCCTAAACCCTAAACCCTAGACCCTAACCTCAAACCAGGCTCAGCTTCATCCAGGCTTAGGCTTCCGGACTGCAGGGGACAAACACCCCACTACCACCCAATATCACTTTTTTTTTTGGGGGGGGGGGGGGGGGGGGGGGGGGGGTTAGGGTTTTGGGTTTAGGGTTAGGGGTTTATGGGTTCCCCTACTACCCCCCCTCTATACGACCCACCCCCCCCCCCCCCCCCCCCCGGGTTTCCCCGCAATAATTAAGGCTATTTAGGATAATTGAGCCTAATTAAGGTGATTTAGGGATAATTAAGCCTAATTAAGGTACTTTAAGGGGGGAACCTAGGGGGGGTAGTATGAAGGTTTTTTTTTTGTCGGGGAACGAGTTGTTGCCTTCTTGGGCGCGTCTACATGGGCTAGGTGCAGAATACAAAAAGGGTTTAGGGTTTAGGGTTTAGGGTTTAGGGTTTAGGGTTTAGGGTTTAGGGTTTAGGGTTTAGGGTTTAGGGTTTAGGGTTTAGGGTAACAGTTCCCTGCTTGCCGGCCGAACTTCAGATTCAGAGGGAAGGGAAAAGACGAACCGGCCGAAGGGGCACCGGCCTAGCGCCGAATGCGAGGGGCCGGGCTCCCGGGAGTTGGAAGGGTTTAGGGTTTAGGGTTTAGGGTTTAGGGCTTAGGGTTTAGGGTTTAGGGTTTAGGGTTCAGGGTTCAGGGTTTAGGGGTTTAGGGTTTGGCAAAGGGTGTTGGTTATGGTTTGGTCGAGTATGGCAGGGGCAAGCGTCGGATTTTCGGCTGCGACGTTGAGAGGATTCAAGAATTGGCGGGACCCTGGGTGGTTGGTGAGACGCAGCGAGGGTTTAGTTTTCATTTCACCCGAGTTTGCCTGGTGACAGGCCTATAGCGCGAGCACATGGGAGCCCACTAAACCCTAAACCCTAAACCCTAAACCCTAAACCCTAAACCCTAAACCCTGAAAGGTACGCAAACGCTCAGAACCCTGTAGCCTACTACCATGCCTGGGGGGGGAGTGTAGGGATTAGAAGCTCTCTTCACGCGGACCAACGTCTCCATTCGGGGGCCCTTCTTTTCAGGGTCCCCTCTAAGGCTCCGCATGATATCGGGAGCCTAACAGGGGACCCTCATTTTGGGAACCTCCCTTATCCCAAAGCTCCGAAGCCCTCGAACCCCCGGGCACAAGCAGGGGGGGGGTGGGGGTCAAAATACGTAACCCGAGACCCCTAAACTCTTGCACCCTGGAGTCATCCCTACAATCCCCTAAACCCTAAACCCTAAACCCTAAACCCTAAACCCTAAACCCTAAACCCTAAACCCTAAACCCTAAACCCTAAACCAATCATGAGCGCCCGGGCCAAGGCACGGCCCCGCCCAACTTGTCGTGGCTTGGACGGATGCTGAGCTCTTGTGTCAACCCTGTGTATGGCCAGAGTAGTAGTAAAGATTTTGCCCTAAACCCTAAACCCTAAACCCTAAACCCTAAACCCCAAACCCTAAACCCTAAACCCAAAACCCTAAACCCTAAACCCTAAACCCCAAACCCCAAACCCCAAACCCTAAACCCAATATTGTGGGAAGCATGGCACGGCTTTCCTGTTGGGTTGTTGGTTCTAGGCTTTCTGGTCATGCATTCTGTGTACTTATGATTGGGCAGTATGCTCAGAGATTTTGGTTTTGAGCTTATGACAACAAAAGGCAGAAACATCAATCTCTCTCTCTCTCTCTCTTTCTGCATCTTCTGTATCTGTGTGGTCTGTATGTGCGTTTGTATGTAGGGAGCCCGGTATGTTTGCATGTCTATAGAACCCTAAACATTCGAAGTAACCCTACAATGCTAAGATCCTAAGGTGGAAAATCCCCAGACCTCCAAGCCTTAAAATCCCAAAACCCCAAAACCCCAACACCCCCAAAACCCTAAAACCCCAAAACCCCTAACCCTAAAACCCCAACAAAACCCTGAAAGCAAGAAAACAAAAAGTGGGAAACTCTAAACCCCTAACACCCTAAAACCCTAAAACCCTAAAACCCTAAAACCCTAAAACCCTAAACCCCAACCCCCTAAAACCCTAAAACCCTAAAACCCTAAACCCTAAACCCTAAACCCTAAACCCTAAACCCTAAACCCTAAACCCTAAACCCTAAACCCTAAACAAAAGAAACCACCCAGGTGGGTCGGCACCATGGACCCCGAAGCGCTGGAATGGTCCTCCGGCTCGGGGATTTCTTGTGGTGAGAGTTTAGGGTTTAGGGTTTAGGGTTTAGGGTTTAGGATTTTGGGATTTAGGGTTTAGGGTTTTGGGGGTTTAGGGTTTAGGATTTCGGGATTTAGGGTTTCGGGTTTTGGGGGCTTAGGGTTTAGGATTTTGGGATTTAGGGTTTCGGGTTTGGGGTTTAAGGTTTAGGGTTTCGGGTTTGGGGTTCAGGGCTTGGGGTTTAGAGTTTACGGGTTTCGGGGGTTTAGGGGGGTTTGGCAGTTTAGGGTTTCGGGGTTTTGGGGCTTAGGGGTTTAGGGTCTAGGGACTTCTTTGGGTGGTCGGGGTTGAGTCGAGGCTTCTTGAGCGTTAGGAGTTGGGCCGCTCCAAGCCCACGGACGTATCTGGAGTACGATATTGTGATTGCTCCATCTACACCGGGAAGCACGGCACTGGGAGACCAGCGCCCGGCAGAGCCGCCGTCTCCTACGTCGTCCATTGCTTCGATGCCTCCACCACCGCCTCCGGTGGTGCCGCCGTTCCGCCTTCCAAATCGACCTTTGCGACCTCCTGGTGGTGGTGGAAATTACAGCGTTTGGGACAATATTGGAGGTTCCCTTGGAGGGAGCGACTCCGACGCGTCCCCTCTTGGGCGAAACGGGGTTGAGGGTCATGGTGGTTCATGGCCTTTGGGGCTTGTGGGGCTGCTAGGATTGGAGCGTGGTTGGGAGGGGGTGGGGGTTCAAGTTTCCGGCTTTCCGTGCCCAGTAAGCCCGAGACCCCTTGTTTGGCTAGCAGTTAAACCCTAAGCCCTAAACCCTAAACCCTAATCCCTAAACCCTTGTTTAGCTAGCAGTGGAGATCAAACTGAACTTGAAGGGGCTCCATAACTACGTTTTGCTGAAGGGTTTCAAAGGATGCAAGACAATGACCCCCCCCTGGTTGCCTTTGTAAGAGGTTTGTTTTAGGGTTTAGGGTTTAGGGTTTAGGGTTTAGGGTTTAGGGTTTAGGGTTTAGGGTTTAGGGGGAGTTCTTATGCAAATACTAGATAATGTTGCAGGAGTATAGTCGAATTACACCTTATCTTTCAGTTCATTTTTTGGCTGGGGGTAGCAAATATTAGGATATGGATCGAACCAGAACCCTAGCGAGGTAAAGGATCTTGGAGCATCGCCTGCTGACATCATGAACGTCTACCTCTTAATCTCCATCTTCTGACCCTAACCCCTCCCTAACCCCCCTTCAGCCCCCAACTGCTAAATCCCAAAAACCCTGAAGCCCCAACCCCCTAAAACCCGAAGACCCTAAACCCCTAAAACCCGAAACCCCGAAAGCCCCTAAACATTCTCTAAAGATACCCTTAATGGGACCGTATAGGGCCCTCATTCCCTCATTCACGACGAAGAATTTAAGAGCCTCCGGCTCAAGCCGCCGACCCCGCTGGAGCATAGTTGAGACCCGCTCGCATGGAAGATCATCCCCGGCAGAGTTCTGTGAATCGTTTGGGGGGGGTAGGGGGTAGCACCAGGACAAGCTC